GTTGACTTAGTTTCTTCTCTTATCAGTGCCACTGCACCCCACAACCATCTGCAGCCTCCCCTGTCCAGTGGAGAAAGATGTGTGACAGCCAGAGTGTACTGACTTTTGGTGCCAGAAAAAGGCTCCTCCTTGGATGCTCTGTTTGTTAGTATTTCACATTCAGAGTTTTCCAGAGTCAAGTTTCAACCCGAAGAGAGACTCTGTGTCCTGACAACTAAAGAGCAGAGCCGTATGATGTGACAGCGAAAAATAGTAGAAGCCTTCTCATATGTATGCGTAGAATATTTACTGAGCACCTATTATGTACCATGCCCAGTTGTAGATACTTGGGATGCAGCAATAAACAAGACAAATCCCTGTCATCTCTATAGATGCTGTTCTATGGAAAGCTGTTATTTTATGGGGAGGCAGGAAATATGTCATAAGTTATATAACTCTCTTAGAAAGTGATAAGTGCTGGGGGCACCTGGATGGCTCAGTCAGTTAAGCATCCAGACTCTTGATTTTGGCTCAGGTCATGATCTCATGGTTTGTGGGATCAAGCCCCATGTGGGGCTTGGGATTTTCTCTCTCTTTCTGCCCCTCTCCCCAACTTTTGCATTGCACGCTCCCTCTCTCAAAGATAAACAAACTTCTAAAAAAGTGTTAAATTCAATGGAGAAAAGGAAAAATCTGAGCAGACTAAGAGGGAGGAGGGGAGGCCAACTGTCAGGATGGAGTATTAAATAGAATGGTCTTGGTAAGCTCCATTATGAAGAAGGTGAGCCTTGAATAAAGCTTTGAAGGAGGTGAGGGACAAAGGCTAGTGGATATTGAAGGAAGAGCAATCCAGGCCGAGGAAATCTACTAGAGCCAAGTCCTAAAGAATTGTAAAACAAAGCTAAAATGGACTGAGCGAGGGGGCAAGTTGTTGGAAGGGAAGTCAGAGAATGGAGAGTGGGATTGTTGACCCTACTGCTTCTTGTAGGAACCATTGTGAGGGCTTTGACTTTTACTCTGAGAGAGATGGGAAATCACTGGATGATTTTAAGCAGAGATAAGATCTGTGTTACATTTTAAGAGGGTCACTGGCTGCCACATTGAGCGTAGAGGTAGCGGGTAAGGATAGAAACCAGGAGAACTGTGAGGAATACAGCAGCTTTTCTCAACTTCTGTACTACTGACATTTTTACTGTGGGGGCTGTCCTGTACATTGTCTGATGTTCTCAGTGTTCCTGGCCTCTACCCACTAGATGTTGGTAGCAGCTCCCACCTAATCAATGACAAATTGTCTCCAGACGTTGCCAAATGTCCTGCCGGGAGTAAAATCACCCCCAGTTGATAACCAGTGGCAAGTGATAACCTGAGAGATAATGGTGACATGGATCAGGGTAGTAGCAGTGGAAAGAGTAACACATGGTCAGATTCTGTCATCCTTTGCTGGCATTAGATATGGAATGTAATAAAATGGGAGGCCTTGGGGGGTTTTGGCTTGAACAACTGGACGATGTAATTATATTGACTAAGATGGACAGAGCTGTAAGAGGAGTGAGTTTGAAGGGGGCTTGGATGTTAGGAGGTGAGTTTGGATGTAAGTTTGGCATATTTATTAGACTTCAAGTGGACACATTGAGGAGACAGTTGCAAGGTCTGGGCTGGAGATATAAATCTAGGAGTGGTCAGTATATGGATGGTATTTAAAGCCATGAGAGTGAACTGGAATGTGGATAGAGAATAGAAAGACCACCATTAAAGTTTGTAGAGATGAGGAGAACCTTCCGTGAGAGACGGGGAACCCGAAAGAGGATGGTCTCCTGGAAGCTAAATGAAGGAAGTGTATTAAGGAAGAGGGAGTGAGTAGTTGCATCAAATGCTGCTGATGGGTCAAGGAAAGGGAAGATGCAGAGTTGACTTAGCAACATGAGGAGAGTGACCTCGTGACCTTGAGGAGAGTGGTTCTGGTGAAATGGGGAGAGTGAAGGCCTGATTGGGATGGGTTTAGGAGAGAATCTGGACATAGTGAATGCTACGTAGATAGCACTTTTGAGTTTTGCTGCAAAGGGCAACAAAGAAAAAACTAGCAGGGAAAGTAGAGTCAAGAAACTCTTTACAACAATAGCATGTGTTGTAGCAGGTAGGAATGATCCAGTGGAGTGAAAAGTCGATGGTGTAGAGGAGAAAAGGAAGGATTGGTAGGGGTCTCTCTTAGTAGATGAGGAGAGTAGGATCTGATGTGCACGTTGAGGGCAAACATTTCTCTTATGCTTGTCATTGTGGAAAGTTGGGAGTCATTGTGCCTGGCTTTATATTATAGACGAAAGAAAAATAAACACTAAACTCTCTGGAGTTTTCCTTAATAAATAAACCTTTGAATACATTTTTCAGAGCCCACACAAATTCCGGGGAGTTAGGTCTTTAGTAGATCCATTGTGGCAGTGTGGAGAGAACAAAGGGCATTGGTTATAACAAAATTCAGTGCGTAGCCTTGGAATACTTAAAGAAAACTTTGGTTTTAACACTACATTTGGGGGCATCTGGGTGGCTCTGTTGGTTGGGCATCCGACTCTTGATTTTGGCTCAGGTCATGATCTCACAATGGGTGGGATTGAGCCCTGCATCAGGCTCTGTGCTGACTGTGCAGAGCCTGCTTGGAATTCTCTCTCTCCCTCTCTCTCTCTCTCTCTGCCCCTCCCCTGTTCTTGTGCACACTCTCTCTGAAAAAAATAAACTTAAAAAAAGATAAAATAAAAAAATACATTTGATTAATCTAAATTGATTAAAAAACGTTCTTTGTGTACATACATTTCTGTAGGCAACAGAACAAAAAATGACACCTCCTTTTTTTGGGGTGGGGCTTTTTTTTTGTATAGAAGCCAGTGGTTTGGATATATCAGTTTATTTAAGTATTCCCCTGTTGGTAGACATCAAATTTCATTCCTTTAAAAATGTATTGAGGTGCACCTGGCTGGCTCTGTGAACATCCTTGAATATATCACATTCTCTGTGATGTTTCTTACAACTTTATGTGAATCTGCAGTGATTTTTTTAAATGTTTATTTGTTTCGAGAGAGGGACAGAGTGCAAGTGGGGAGGGCAGAGAGAGAGGGAGAGAGAGAATCCCAAGCAGACTTCGTGCTGTCAGTGCAGAGCCCTATGTGGGGCTCAGTCTCATGAACCCCGAGATCATGACCTGAGTAGAAATCAAGAGTTGGATGTTCAACCAACTGAGCCACCCATGCACCCATGAGTCTGCAATGATTTTTAACTGAAAGCTTAATTAAAAAACAAAAGAAAACCAGCCCTTCCTCTTGTTCTCTTGGTTGTTGGAACCATGACAGGCATCTTGGTGTCCACTTGGTTTCCCCCATTTCCCTCACTGCCAAGCCAGCTCCTAGTTAGGTCAATACTTGGTTTCCAGTAATCCAGCCCCTCCTTTTCATTCCCACTGAGAACAGAAAGACCACCATTCAAGTTTGGAGAAATGAGGAGAACCTTCCATGAGAGAGGGGGAACCCAAGAGAGGGTGGCCTCTCTCAGATGCATTTCTTTTTAGCCCTTAATCTCCTAAAACAGCCCCTCTTGACTGACTTCTATGAAAATTAAGCTCTTGCCCCACTGCATTCTTTACATCTAATGATTAACTTCTCTCTGTTGCATCCGGAATAGTGAGCGATGTGTATTTCCTTGGGAGAATTAAGAAAGTGGATCGTTTTTTTAGAGCTTAATTATCTTGTACTCCAGTTTGGAAAGGCTGCCCTAGAAAGTAAGCTCCGGGAGGGCAGGGATTTTGTTCATTACTCTTACCCCAGCTTCTAAAACAATGTCTGGTACAGAGCAGTCTTGCAATAAATCTGAGTGCCACAAATCCTTGTTGAATGAAGGACGAAAGGAGTGATGCATTCTCTCTGCCTGTCATAGCCCTCATCTTCTGCTTCCATTCATTCTTCACATTGCTTCACTTGCTTTTCTGGTACAAATCTAGTCATATTAGTTTCCTGATTAAAAATCATCAGGGTTCCTCTTGCCTTCAGTAGACACTTGTCGTCCTTATCATGGCATGCCAACTGCCATAATCCTTGCCTTCACCTCCCCACTTTCTGTGCACACTCCATGTGTCAGCTGAACACAATAACCTGACATTCCTTGTGTGCACCCCCTTCCTTGCTTTCTGCCTAGGATGCTGGTCCTTGGCCCAAGCCATCAGGCCAACTCATCCTCAAGGTTTTTGCCTAAAAAGACTTTTTAGAAGTGTTCTCTGACACTCTCCCCATCTGAACTATATGCCCATCCCCTCCCCTGGGCACTTTTTATGATAGCACTCAGTAGAGTTTTAATGCTCTCTTTAAATGCTTCTCTTCACCATTTTCTATGAGCATTTTGAGGGCAGGGACCACATCTGGTGGTTTGGTTACTCCCAAACGCAGATCATTTCCTGGCACATAACAGGCACTAAGTAAATATCGAGTGAATGGAAGTAAGCTGAAAGACAGAGAAGACGCCTTGGAAGTAAAAGTTAACTCTTCTGGGGTGGCTGGGTGGCTCTGTCGGTTAGGTGTCCGACTTTGGCTCAGGTCATATCTCACGGTTTGTGGGTTCAAGCCCCGCGTGGACCCTGTGCTGACAGCTCAGTTCCTGAAGCCTGATTCAGATTCTGTATCTCCCTCTCTCTCTGCTCCTTCCCCAACTCACGCTCAGTCTCTCGCTCTCAAAAATGAAATGAGATGAGATGAGATAATAAAATAAAATAATAGTAAATAAAAGTTAACTCTCATGAAGATCAGAAGTTGTTCTGTATACATGGCGTTCTCCTGATCGTGGGATAGGAGTAGGGTTTGCATAGGAAGGACCTGCATTTAGCACAGAAACGTTCTGTGTCCTCAGAAACCCTTTAGTCCTGGGCAAACTAGAATGGTCGGTCACCCTAGATAGGAGTAGCCATGGAGTGGACATAATCCGCAGGCACTGAATTGAGATGCTTTGGAGAGGCACTCTCTTTCTTTCCCACTGTCCCCACCTTTTACCTGACTTTGGTGGTCTCCAAACTGGGTCATGCTACTTCTGAGTCTTCATGCAAGTCAACCTCATTATTTTTTATAAATAGACTCTTTTGTGTATTTTTCACATGCCCAATCAGAAGCTGTATCTGGTTCTCCACGTATGCAAGGCTAAAGACTAAACTCTTCCCTAGGCCTGGCATCACAGTCCTAGCAGTTAAAAACGTGGCCTCCGGAACCAGACTGTGTAGATTCTAACCCTGGCTCTGCCCTTCACTGATGACCTTAGACAAGCTATTTTCCCTCTCAGTGCCTTCCTTCTCTCATCTGCAAAATGAGGCTAATAATAGCACTTCTCAGTGGGCTGCTGTAAGGATTAAGAAGCTGATACAGATGAAGTATTTAAAACAATTTCTAAAATGTTACCTGCTCCTCCCATCTAGTCTTCAGCCTTATCTTTCTTCCACTCTCTCCCTTATGATTCTCCATTCTAGCTCAAAGAGCCCGTTGGTCTCCCAGCCGTATCAGGTGCGTGTTTGAGGTTTTGCCTTCTGAAAACAATGTCCATGTCTTTCTGCTTATTTAAGTAACTACCCTTAAAGTTAGCTGAAGTTTAGCATCGTCTGTCCAGCTTTTCCCTTAGGGATTTCTCCCACTTTTGCATTATGTCCCACTTCTCTCTTTGCCTTTTGGTTGGCACATAATCTGTGGGCCCCAGTTTGTGCCCAAGAGGTACTCAGTGCTTGTTGGTGGTTAAGAGTTTGGGTGGAAGGCCAAGAAGGGGAGTTCCTGGGACATTTGGGCTCCAAGGAGTTGTCTAAAGCTTCTCTCTTTTCCCAACAGAGGTCCCCCTTGTTGGAAGTGAGGGGGAACATACAGCTAAAAAGACCCCCGGTCAAGGCTCCTTCTCGGCTGCCTCTTCCGGGAACCAGGTTTAAGAGGGGGCCTGACCAGATGGAGGATGCCTTGGAGCCTGAGAAGGTAAGCTGGGTTTGGAAAGCTGTACATGTACATGTATGTGTGTGTGAGAGAGAGGGACAGAGAGTGTGTGTGTCTAACTCAATCAGGGAGAGTAAATGGACCCCATTCTTGTCTTTCTCCAGAAAAGGACACGAGGCCTGGACACAGTGACCAAAATTGCCACATCCCGCCCCAGAGCACCAGCCCTCACCACAGTGCCACAGACACAAGGCCAGACCACAGGTGGGCTCTAGGGGTGGACAGAAACCAAGGGAACGGAAGTCCAGTGCTCTTCAGATTTCTTTCAATTTTAGCATATTTTGAATAGGTAATATGTTTCACTTGTTTCAAAATTCCAAAGGCACAGAAGTCATTATTATACAGTGAAAAGTCTCCCTCCTACCTCTGTCCCCCAGCCACCAGGTCCCTTCCCCAGGAGCAACTGTATGTCCTTCCAGGGGTGTTCTATCATGGACATGTCTCCAATATTTTTTACATAAATGGTAGCATACTTGACACGTGGTTCTGCCCCGTGTTCTTTTTTTGCTTATCTTGGTCCAACTTTTTCTTGGGGTATTGTGTAATTCCTGGTCCTGGGAAGGATACCTTTAGAAGCTGGCCACACTTCGGGGAAGAGGGAAGCTGTCTTATTTCTAATCCTCAGAAAATGCAACTCTTCTGCCCCTGGCCCAGCCAGAGTTCACACCATCCTGAGTCTGGTTGTTCTTTTTCCTCTCCCCCATCTCCTGACAGCTCCAAAAGTTCCCAAGAAGACAGGACCCCGATGTTCCACAGCTATTGCCACAGGTAGTAGTGCTTCAGAGCTGGGGCTGAGAAGAGATTTGGGGTGTGTGTAAAGGAAGGGTGTGTAAAGGACACCCGTGCTGATTCCGTACGTTAACTCCCCAATTCTCTAGTGCTGAAGAATCAGAAACCAGGCCCTGCTGCTCCTGCCCAGAAGCCTGGAGGTAGGTGACAAACACAACCACTAGGTGAGGGGCTGGGACAGGGAAGAGAGGAGATGGTGAGTACCCCAAAACATCCATCTGGCCTCCTCCCTGTCTGGAGGGGAAAGAGATATAGCAGGAGGTGTGGAGGCCTTAAAGCCTAGGAGGGAAGAGAGGCAGAAAGCCAAGGCCTCCCTGACCCTGCCCTTTCTGTGCCATGTTAGCGGCTGCTCCCGTGCTGGGAGGGAGGAAACCCACCAAACGTCCGGCCTGGGACTTAAAGGGTCAGTTATGTGACCTAAATGCAGAGCTGAAATGCTGTCGTGAGAGGACTCAGACATTGGACCAGGAGAACCAACAGCTACAGGACCAGCTCCGGGAGGCCCAACAACAGGCCAAGTCCCTGGGGGCAGAATGCAGGACACTGGAAGAGGAGTTGGCCAGGGCGCAGGCCCAGGCCGAGCAGGGCCAACAGGAATTGGGGAACCTAAGGGCCCGTGTCCTGGAGCTAGAAGAGCAGCTGGGCACACAGCAGGGCTTGGTGCAAGAGCTCCAGAAAGAACAGTTGGGGTTGCAGGAGGAGCGAAGGGGACTGGCTGCCCGGCTGGAGGAGCAGGAGGTAAGGACCACCTTCTCACCAAATGCTAACCCTTCTTTCTGGGTTACCCTGAAGTCTCTTTGGGCTTAGGGTCCCTGCCTGCCTTTCTTTGGCAGTACACGTCTGTCCTCTAACCTCCACCCCAGCCCACCCCTGACTGTGTCTTATTTCTGCCCTGCTTCTCCCTGTCCTTCTTGCTTTCATAGCTCCCACCTGGATCTGTGTCTCCCTTCATCCTCTGTCTCCCCCTCTGTCTTTCTGTCTTTCTTTCCTGATCAAAAGTCTCCATGGCAGGGGTGCCTGGGTGGCTCAGTCGGTTAGGTGTCTGACTCTTGATCTCGGCTCAGGTCTTGATCTCTGGGTCGTGAGTTCAAGCCCTGCGTTGGGCTGTGCTAGGCATGAAGCCTACTTAAAATAATAATAATAATCGTGGGGTGCCTGGGTGGCTGAGTCGGTTAAGTGTCCAACTTTTGGTTTCAGCTCAGGTCATGATCTCACAGTTTCGGGAGTTCAAGCCCCGACAGCACTAAGCCTGCTTGGGATTCTCCCTCTCTCCCTCTCTCTCTGCCCCTCCCCCCAACTCTGCTGTCCTTGTCTCTCTCAAAAATAAATAAACTTAAAAAAATTTTTTTTAAAAAGTCAGGGTGCTTGGGTAGCCCAGTCAGTTGAGTGCCCAACTTCAGCTCAGGACATGATCTCACAGTTCGTGAGTTCGAGCCCTGAATCAGGCTTTCTGCTGTCAGCGCAGAGCCCGCTTCAGATCCTTTGTCCCTCTCTCTCTGCCTCTCTCTCTTCCTCTCTCTCAAAAATAAACATTTAAAAAAGTTTCTTTTTATGTTTATTTTTGAGACACACACACACACACACACACACACACACACACACACACACAGTGTGAGTTGGGGAGGGGCAGAGAGAGAGGGAGACACAGAACCCAAAGCAGCCTCCAGGCTCTGAGATGTCAGCACAGAGCCTGACGCGGGGCTCAACCCCATGGACCGCGAGATCACGACCTGAGACAAAGTTGGACGCTTAACTGACTGAGCCACCCAGGTGCCCCCAAAATAAATAAACATTTAAAACCAAATCTCCGGGGCACCTGGGTGGCTCAGTCAGTTAAGCGTCCGACCTTGGCTCAGGTCATGATCTCACGGTTCGTGAGTTCAAGCCCCGCATTGGGTTCTGTGCTGACAGCTTAGAGCCTGGAGCCGGCTTCAAGTTCTGTTTCTCCCTCTCTCTGCCCCTCCCTCTCTCACACTCTGCCTGTCTCTCTCTCTCAAACATAAATAAACATTTAAAAAAATTTTTTTAATAAAAAAATAAAACCAAATCTCCATGGCATTCTCTCTTCCTCTTCTCATGTCCATTTGACTCCTTGGTGAGCACCAACTAGATTGAATTCCTTGCAGTTTCTCCGATGCCTCAATCTTCTCTTCAGGCCATTTTGCATATATACTTCCCTCGCTGCAGAATGTTCTTTCTGTTCTCCATCTTTTCCTGGGTTTACTCCTGTACTTTTGGGTGTCAGCTTAGATGTCATTGTCCTTATGCCCCTTCTGGCTCTTCCCACAGCACTCCCTATTCTAGTACCATGATTCCTGTTTTCTTCCCTCTTTCTTTACCAGACTGAAGTCCTTGGGGACAGGGACCACCCTACCTCCACCCCCCACCTCATCATGACTTGTCCTTCTTCCTTGTTGTGTCTCACCCTCTGTGTCCGTTCCGTTCTGGACAGAGGAGGCTACAGGCGTCAGAAGCAGCTCTGTCAGGCAGCCAAGCAGAGGTGGCGTCTCTGCGCCAGGAGGCTACAACCCAGGCGGCCTTACTAGTGGAGCAAGGAGAACGTCTCCATGGGCTAGAGATGGAGCGCCGGCGGTTACACAACCAGCTACAGGAACTCAAAGGCAATATCCGTGTGTTCTGCCGGGTCCGCCCTGTCCTTCCAGGGGAGCCCACCCCACCCCCTGGCTTCCTCCTGTTTCCCTCTGGCCCTGGTGGGCCCTCTGATCCTCCAACCCGCCTCAGCCTCTCCCGATCTGACGAGCGTCGTGGGACCCTGAGTGGGGCGCCGGCCCCCCCCACCCGCCATGACTTCTCCTTTGACCGGGTCTTCCCACCAGGGAGTGGACAGGACGAAGTGTTTGAGGAGATTGCCATGCTTGTCCAGTCAGCCCTGGATGGCTACCCAGTATGCATCTTTGCCTACGGCCAGACAGGCAGTGGCAAGACCTTCACGATGGAGGGTGGGCCTGGGGGAGACCCCCAGGTGGAGGGGCTGATCCCTCGGGCCCTGCGGCATCTCTTCTCTGTGGCCCAGGAGCTGGGCAGCCAGGGCTGGACCTACAGCTTTGTGGCAAGCTATGTAGAGATCTATAATGAGACTGTCCGAGACCTGCTGGCCACCGGGACCCGGAAGGGCCAGGGCGGCGAGTGTGAGATTCGCCGGGCAGGGCCAGGAAGCGAGGAGCTTACTGTCACCAATGCCCGATATGTTCCTGTCTCCTGTGAGAAAGAGGTAAGGACTGATGGGCCCTGGGACTGGAAGACGGGGAGGAATGGATCGGGTGGCATCAGATGCAGGTGGATGCAGA